CCGAATGACCATTCAGATAACCTTAGAATGCAAAACATTACCGGTGTACAAAATTTCATCCAAATTGTTCGAGCCATATATATTAGGCTGCATCACCAAAAAAAAAAAATTCGGAAAAATATTAAGATTTACGTGTGCTGGACCGATTTGAAAATACCTCCAAAAATGGAGTTTTCTATGAATAGAAATAGTTTCTTAAATAACTTTTTGGAAAAAATCCCATCAGATGACAAAACAGATTAGGCTTAAAAAATCTGCATAAAAATATTTAAAAATATTTTCAACGGAATCGTAATAATGACCTTTTGATGCCGTTTTTTTTACTTTTTTCACAGATTGCTTTACGAAAAACTTAAATAACTGGGCCAAACCTATTCTGATTGAGACTTATGGGATCACGGTAGAAAGATATTTTCCCACTATTCTTATTTATGTGCAAACAAAAGTCATTTGCGTCCCTTTTTTTTTTTAATACGAACACATCTTAATTCAACTTTGAATGACTTTCGTTCATCCTACCTTTCTCTTTCATCCCTTGAATGATACCTCACATGTCTAAATCGGAAGAATTTTAGGTTTTTCTTATACCAATCTTTGGAAAAAGTTAAAAAACAGCATCAAAAATCTCATCACTACGATTCCGTTAAATATATTTTTTTTTAAATACTTTTATGCAATTTTTTTAAGATTAAACCATTTTGTCATTTGAGGGGATTTTTTCAAAACAAAAATCTTTAAGAAACTATTTTTATTCATAAAAAACCCAAATTTATATGAAAACGCTTATTTTTAAAATCTATGTTCACTATTTTCAAAACCGACTATAGAGGGATAATTCAGGCCAAGGATGGCCAAACTCAAAACCGCTGTCGCAGTTTTTAAGACAATTCAACAAAGTTGCTTTCAATTGACCTATCCTGTGCATTAGGATCGCCCTTAAAATATGAGCATCATGGGGCACCCCTTTTTTTTGTTCTACGTACAAAATGAAGACATCTACGAAATTTAAATGTGTAGAATTTTACTAAATTTTATATAAAACTAGAAACTCTGATTTATATGGTTTTGGTTAAAGCTAAAAAAATTTAGTTGGAAAATATTATGAATATTATTTCCGGCAACACTGGGTTTGAAATTTTTATTTTTTTTTTTCAAAACACAAAAATTCGAAATTTGACTTTGGCCAGCTTTAACTCAGTTTATGAATTTATAGAATACGTTTCAATATTAAAATAGGTATGTGCTCAGATTTCATAAAAATACGAGCATCAAATTGTATTTCGATTTAGTTTTATGTTTTTGAGTGCATTTGAAATATTCAAGTGCAAATATCTTAAATTAATACAGCAAAGACTCGTTATCATAAAAACACCAAACCTGTCCAATTCTGTTTAGAAATTTCCTAAAGTGTGTTGCTTATTGGGGTCATTTAACAGTTAACATTAAATGAAACACAAATATTTATGTATTTAACTCGTTTACTTAATGCACTAAACGGTAAAAGAAAACTAGTTTTTTGTGTCACTCATGGTGAGTAGGAAATAAATTACTCATAATTTGAAGATATATTATAAATCAATTTTATCTTGATGCATAAAAATTTACCTACAATGCAAATTAAACCCATACATGTAAACATTTAAAATTTTTATTTTTTTTATTTGACTTAGCTCAAACCCATAAATTCATATACAAGATTTGGTTATCATAATTTGCAAGCTCATCCAACAAGTATGTATGTATGAATGTATACATGCTTGCACATTAAACAAAAAAGTACCTATTTGATTTTATTTGGATCTCGTATACAAAATAAAGACGCTCGTAAATATGCATTTAAAACAATTTTTAATTGTACAAAAATGAGCACTTTAAACTTGCTACGTGCCATCTTGGCGTTTATTTTATTTATTTTTTTCATCTTCGTAGAGCATTCAAATTACACCCGATAATTGGCAAACTGCCATTTTATTTGTAAACCGACATCAGCCATAGTTTAACAATAGTAGAATTCAGCAACGACCCTTTTACTAGGCGTCACAGTAAAAGTCAAAAAGAACCGCTTTGGTAGGAGTTAAAAGGTTAGAATGTTCAATAAAAATCGTTGCTGAATTCCACTATATATAGGCCTTCATATAAAAGTTATGATTTGACGTCGGCTTATACATAAAATGGCGTATTAGATACCACGATATCTACGACTGGCCTTATAGTACTTAAAAATTATACTTTTTATTCTATTCTACTCAATTTTAATTTAATATTGAATTTAAGTACTTTATTATAGTATTTTATTTTATGTTAATATTTTTTTCATTATTTAATATTTAATGTATTTCATTTCAATATCATTTTACTTTTTCATTTCATTTAATTTTTTATTTTATTTCATTTCTTTTCATTTTTACTTTGATATGTTATTTGATTTTTTTTTCTATTTTTTATTTTATTTTATTTT